CAGGATGTCGGACGAGGGGGGAAGTGCCCACGCGGAGCCCACCCTCGGCTCTCCTCTCATTCCACAGAACTCCCTCCCTCCCTTCTTTCCTCCCCCCCCCACCTTGTTCAAGAGGATGATAGCCAAGATCACGCCGTAAATGGCTGTGGCCTCGCAAAAGATGATAGACACCAGATTTTTGCTTTTGATACGCGGGGCTTTGATGGAAGCGCCCACTAGAGTGGAGCCTGAATCGATGAAAGAAGGAAGGAGGGTGAGGCTCCGAGGAAAGGAGGAGATAGGGAAGAGGGAGACAGAGATAGGGCCCGGGAAATAGGAAAAAGCTCGCACTGCACTGTTTGGGAGACGAGCGCCAATTTTTCTTTAAATGCGGAGGATTAGGGTAGGAATTATGGAAAGAGCTTATCTCCCTCCTTCCTCTTCCTCTCCTCCTTCCAGCCTCCCCTCTCTCACTTCCTCCCCTTACCCGTCGTCCAGATACCCCATGCTGCACCCACGATGCTCAACCCCAAGGCGAAAGCCACACCGTACTGGCCCCATCCGTACGGAGACATGAACATTAGGACCTCCGTCCATCCTGTAGGAATGTGGTGGGAAGGGAGGGAGAAGAGTGTCGGGGAGGGGAGGAAGGGCAAGCCCGCGGGAATGAGGAAGAAGGGAGGACCGCTGGCATCGTCCCCGTGCCTCTGGGCAATCAATAATGATGCGATGTAGGGCTTGTACCATCGTTGACAGAGACGGGTATCGGTAGCCAACTCGACGCATCTCACGTATCGACCTTTGCTGCCTGAAGACGACAAAAACATGGAAACCAAGACACAGAGGCATGGATAGGTGGTTTCACTGCCTCCCAGAACGAGCTCGCGCCCCTCCTTCCCGCAAACTAATCCAACTGTCCTCCGCACACGCTCTTTTGGCATTGCAATCGCTTGGGGCCAGAGCCGCCGCATCTTCTTTACGGTTTATCTCCTTCATCCCCTCTTTCCGTCCTCCTCCTCAACCGCCCCCGGCACGAACCTAAGTTACAAAGCGGAGAGACACACACCATCTCCGTCGCGCTCGACATGACTTCCGCTTTTGTACCTCGTACCCCTGTTGCGAATATGGCGTGTGGCAAACGAAAGCGTTAGGGTCACAGAGGCGTCGGGCAAACCGCATCTCGCTCCTTCTTGCCCAGACATGAAACCCAGGTGTACTCAACGATCACACGGCAACGCCATGCCCGGGCGCCAGATCCCCACCGAAGGACCACGAACAGCCACAGACACTGCACACGGAGGTCGGAGGAACGGCACCCGCCTTCCGTCGTCCACGCGGTGAGGTAATCTTGGCCGGCATCGCGTCGGGGGGGCGGGGAGGGCTCGATCGACTCTCCCTCGCTCGATCGAGGGGGGGGG